ATTAAATAAATATATATAATATTATAAATTTTAATAAAATAAAAAATTTATTTATTAACTAATATATAAAGTTGTGTAAAAACAATTGTTCAAAAAATTCTTTCAGCCATTTTCCTAATTCTAAAATGATTGCGCCATAGTTTTGATTGGTAGAAGAAAATAATTTTCTTCCCTCTCCACGCATATATTCTGTTTTTTCTTTTTATCCTCTCCATCCATATATTCTGTTTTTTTAGTAGGCTGTAATTATTTACATATTAATTAAAAAAATTTTAAAAAATTTGGTAAAACTCAAACACACAACTTGTCCTATACCACTGGATCAAAGTAGATTGTTACATATATTTTGGTGTTGAATTTTTTTTACCACAAAAAATTTATAATAAATCTTACATTGTCAGTATCCATATCCATATTTGTATCTGTATTCGTATCAAATAGAGTATCTCATTAAAATTAAAAAAGCCGATGAAAATTACTCTTATGTCAAGTTATCTTGTAAGATTTATCATTCTTTAACATACACTAATTTAAAAGTTTTCGCAGATTCAACTTCTAATTATTAAGGTCTTTAAAGAACAAGGTGAATGGGATTGATTTATTATTTTAATATATTTTTATATAAAATAGTTTTGGATCTTTGCATTTGTGAGTTGATTGCAATCTTGCCACCATTCTATTTTATTTAATATAAATAAAATATTAAAATATGTAATTATAATCGATAATCATGCACTTGCCCCCTCCATTTATTAGCTTGTTGAATTTAGACTTTGATTCTTCATGGGTTGTTGGGTAGCTAAATGACAACACACTTAAATTCAATCACAATCATAATGTTTATATTTTCAAATTATATTTATTGATAAGTAAATATCATTTTATAAGTTACGTTATTTAAATTTAAAAATAAATACTTAAAAAATTAATTTTTTTAAATACATTAAATCAATTTAAAATGTACATTTTGTTTTTTTTTTATATATATAATCTCATATAAAAAAAATAAAAATCAAAATATCTACGCTCGCGACACCATCATCATAATTACCGAAAAAAAATCATAATGTTTATTTCAATAACTACATGCACACATACATACATATATTTCAAGCTTAATATTATAAATACATGTACACATAATGTTTAAATGCATCATATCAATATCAATGTGAGTGGTGTGTTTTGTTTTTCCATGGCCTCATATCCAAAAAGTAAAAATCAAAATGTTCTTACTCGGGACGCCATCATGATAAATAAATAAAAAAATTCATAATGTTTATTTCAGTAATTAAGTACATGTACACATTACAAGCTTAATATTATAAATACATGCACACATAATGTTTAAATGCATCATATCAATGTGAATGGTGTGTTTTGTTTTCCAACAACCTCATATCAAGAGAGTAAAAATTAAAATGTTTTTATTCAAGACACCATCATCATAAATACCTAAAAAAAAAAAAATCATAATGTTTATTTCAATAAGTACATGTACACATACATCCATACATTTCAAGCTTAATATTATGAAAGGAAAATGATTTGTATATTCTCAGTTTAATATATTTTTTTATATACTTTCACTTTAATTATTAAAATTATAATATAAATATAATCAATTCAATTAATTCAGTCGATTCCTATATCACGTGTGTATGATTATATCTTTAAATTTATTTAATTTTAATTTTAAATTAAAAAATAATAATTTTTTAATAAATATATTGTATAATGTGTTAAATCAGAGTGTGTACCAATCATTGTTCATTATAAATACATGTGCACATACATGCATACATTTCAAGCTTAATTATTTTTTATCCATTTTTCTTGTCATAATAGATATTTATTAAGGAAAAAGTGTTTTACATTTTGAACTATAGCGTATTATATAACCATAAATATTACACAAGGGTAGTTTAAGAACATTGAAGGTCCTTCCTCCATTCAACAACTCTTATTTTATAGTTTAATATAGTTTAAATGATAAAATATGGGTTTGTTTATTATTTTAGTCTTTTTCCTGTCACATTAGGTACATTTAAGTGATATATTTATAGTATATTAATGATGATTTGAAAATTTTTTAATAAATAATTCTTATAAAGTAATTTCATATAAAAAATGTTATTCATATAATATAAGAAATTATTGTCTAAAAGTACGTGTCAACAACAAATAAAATAAATGATAAATCAAATGCAATAATAGAGGGCTCATTTAAATTAGCTACAACTTTTTTACAGGACAAAGCTCCTATTTGCACCATCTATTTATTTTTTTTTGTGGTCAACACCTTTCAGAATTTTTCCTCCCTATTCACACCCTCTATTTTTCAAAACCCGTGAAAAACCTAATATTTTAACGGATCGTCACGGTATCGTTAATAACCGTTAAAAATTGTAATACGTGGCATCAAACAGTAACATAATCCAATGTGAACTTTCTTTTTTGATGATATGGCATAATTAAATCATAATTAATTTTAATTTTTTCATTTTCTTCTTTCCCGCATCATCTTTACCATCTTCCTGGGTTCCTCATGGAACCAAGAACCAGGAACCCAGAACTTTATGTCACATTTATTAATCTAATGTTTGACTTTTTTTTATAATGTGTTATAATTAAATCATCATTAATTTTAATTTCTTTATTCTTTTCTTTCCCGGCATCATCTTCACCATCCTCGTCCTCATCCCCCCAGGTTTCTCGCAAAACCCAGGTTCTGATTTATTTGTGGAACCTAATTTCACAATTCGCCTACCAAAAACAATCTCCAAGCAAAAAAAACTCACTTTTTCAACAAAAAAATTTATTCCAAATTGCTTTGCATAAAATCGGAAGCTAAGATAAATAAATTCAAAATCAAAAAAAAAAAAGAAAAGGTTGGAACTGGGTTCCACGCGCGGAACCCAAAACTGGGTTCCACGCAAGGAACCCAGATCTGGGTTCCTCGCGCAGGAGCCCAGAACTGGGTTCCGCGCAGGAACCCGAACTGGGTTCCCCGCGAGGAACCCATTGAGAAGAGGACAGTGAAAATGGAGGACGGTGAAGATGATGCCAAGGATGAAGGGGAAAAGAAAAAAAAAAGAAAAAATACCATTTATGTAACTGTTTGGTAATATTATAATTTTTTATTATTTTCACTGTATACGTGGCATCCCACGCTCGTAAAAAATAAATCACGTCATAAAAAAAAATATCCACGTTGGATTACTAACGGTATATAGTGCCACGTCAATTTTTGGCTGCCACGTAATATATTTTTTAATGGTGCCATGACGGCCCGTTAAAATATTGGCTTTTCACGAGTTTTAAAAAATAGAGGGTGTAAATAGGGAGGAAAAATTCTGGAAGGTGTTGACCACAAAAAAAAAATAAATTGAGGGTACAAATAGGGGTTTTGGCCCTTTTTTATATATATAAACTTTGTTACAACTTTTGTAAGGTTGTTTTAGTAAAGTTTCCTTTATCATGTGCAGTGAAGTTTCCTTATTTAGTTACATAGAA